AAGACCCATGTGCAAACATTCCAAAGTGTGGAGATGGCTACATATGGGTTCAATGCTGGTTATTTTGAAATGTCCGGTACTAGGTGCCACTGTTTAAAATCATATTTTTTGATAGCAAAGTTTGATTGATAGTATTAACTATTTTTTAGCAAAGGTTGTTGCGGTTTTGTTAATTTAGTTTGATTTATAACTTTGTTATCTAACATAAATCATAATTTAATAAACATATCGTGAAATATTTTTTATTTATTTATAAATAAACCTTAGGTGCCCGCCGCCACTAGACGACTTCACCCTATGCTTTTTACAGAATTAGCATCAAGCTCTTAATGTTTGTGTTGGCTGCAGCCTTAAAATATTTGTTTTAAAAACTTTACGTATGATACTTATAATTAGATATTTTACTTTTATTGTTATCATTATTATAAAAATGTTAAATTAATTTTGATACTTGTTTTCAAAAATCTCTTGAAATAATGCCCATTTTGGATTTCCCATACGTATAATAATTTGCATACTACAAAATTGCAATACTACAAATTAAGTTCTAACTAGTAGGGCATGGCATCATGCATTAATGCAATTTGCTAAAACTTCCCGTACCACATTTAAATTATTTAAAAGCTTTACATTTTTGTTTATTTTGAAAAAAATATTTGTTTTTGTGAATCTTGATTTAAATTTTGTTTTTTTTTCTAATATTCTTGAGAACATTTGAAAATTCGGAGAGCGCGTTAGCGCCGCGTCGCACTCTTGCGGTTAAACATTGTAAATTTTGATACAAAATCCATAGGAATGTAAACAAAATTTGTACTTGTTATTAAAATTTAAATAATAAAATCTTATAATTTGATGTGCGTATGTCTAAAAATAATCCTGTATCCTGAAAACCGTTGGAAATTGTAATCATTTTACATCCCGCCAATAAAGTTAAGTGTTTTTGAATCATCCAAATCGGGGCGCTTTGTTATCTCAAAAACTTAATTTTCATTCTGAGTGCCTTTGCCAAAAACTAGTCCCATTTGTAGGAATCGAATGTTTTTGAATCATTGGTTGAATAGTATCCAAACATACATACACACATACATCAATTTTTTCTGAGGTATGCCAAAATGTTCAGAAACGTTTGGAACGTGAAGATATGCAAAAATTTTCATATTTTATCATTATAACTTAACCTACGTGAAATTAAAAATGCATTTTTCTGCTTGGAAGATAAAATATTATCATAGGCTCATGATCGTTTTATCAACTGATTCAATTTCGGCGGGTAATCTGTTTTCGTATAATACATGTCATTTGCTCAAACAGATCATTAACAATAATGTTGTCCGCCGCAGGACTTTAAAAAATGAGCTGTGATTCATCTTTATATATTCACCGAATGTTAAACGCATATTAGTTCAATTTAATTATGAAATGACACATGGATATGTCAAATGCGTTGGCATATATGCGGAAAGTTGCAGCTTTGATATCAGAATTCAGAATATCTGCGATGCAATACAGTGTTCACGCATTTACCCGGTATGTACCTTTATTTAAATTTGGCATTTTCTTTTACGCTCTGATATTTGATAGGAGCACAAATGCATAAACACAAATGAATCTATATTTTTTATTACAAGCTGTCACACTTAGGACATTCAGTAATTGTTTTGACTTTTCTCATTATATGAATCTTGAATGTATGGCAACTCAGTTGTTGTCCACTTATGACTAATTACCTATACTCGAAGTATTTGATAACATTTTTATTATATATGCAACTATACCGCGAGAGGCGATTTTCACTTGAGGCTATATTCGAGATCTATAACCTCAAGTGGAAATTTGACATCAAAGTTGCCTGATGTCAGTCAGCGAACCCGGGACTAGTTGGTGCTAGCCCACGTTCTAACCGATATCGCCACCGCTGGCCCGAATCTATAAGTAATTGTCGAATTTGAAAAAAGATAAGAAAATTTAATTTGAAAATATTAAAATATATTTTTTAGATAGAATCTATAGGTAAAACAGATGAATATAAACTGGCTTTTAAGGTAATGCATGATAGTTCCAAAACTAAAGGCTAAATAACACAATTTTAATCCACAAAAACAGAAGTTTTGAAAAGCTACTACGATTAATTAAATTGTTATAAACATTGTAAAATAAAAAATAAATAAATAGAAAGATAAAAATAATATAACTCTTATTCACTTTAAATATAAAAACTTTATGAATATATAAAATACAATAATAACATAATTAAAGTTATTGCTATTTACATTTTTAAATAATTTAAAACGACGCGTCTAAACGATATGTGTTCCTCATATGAAATGAAAATAATGGGTTCCATATAAATGCAAACAAATTCTTTTTTCGTAAATAATAGTGAATCCATAAAAATAATTTATTTTATCTGCCATTCTGCAACGTATTTTAAATTCAAAATCTGTACCACATTAAAAATGAAAGTTCAGGATCGAGGAATTTTACTTATAAATACATTCTTATAAATATGTTAAGAAAATCGACTGCTCTTCAGTTTATTATTTAGTAGATTAAATCATATTATTTCATTGTAAGGTATTATTATTATTTCAATTTAATTTAAATTTTAATCTAATCTTTAAAGATCCACAACGATCATTTGTATCTATAACTGTTTGTGTCACCTTCTCGCCACGTGCCTTGCCTACAAGATATAGGAAAGAAAACGTCATGCGACAGCTTGCAATAAAACTAAGGACATTACATATGTTTTGGAACGTCATTGCCAATTTAATATTTTGTTCAGAAAAAGGTCTATATTACTTTATTATAAACAATGCAAAGCCAGGTAAAGTTTAGCATCCCAAGAGTAAATATATTTAAGGTAGAGCGGGGCTTAAAGATCCGCGGGTATAAAGGTACTACCGATATATTGAAATAAGC